AGGGCCCCCCCCCCCCCCCCCCCCCCCCCCCCCCAACCTTTCCCTGCTGTTTGACACCGAAGAGAACATGGGGATACCCAGAGACAGCTCCAGTTGCAGACAAATGCATCAGGTATCCTCGCTTTACGTAAATATTTGAACCGATACTCAAAATTTTGAAAAATCTCGAGAACTTTCCCGGAAAGTAAATGTGAAGTGAATAAACTCACGCCCCAGACTCTCTCTCTCTCTCCTCTGCATGTCCCGCTGACACCCATGGTCGTCCACGAAGAGGCTGGGATGTGGTGCGTGAGTAGATGGCATGGAGGGCATACATAGCAGGAGGCGGGGAAGGGAAAAGCATGTTTCCCTTCCCGGGGGGTCACAGCCCTCCCCCCGTCCCCCCCCCCCTCCCCCCCGCTGTCCCCCCCACTTATCCCTGGTATGGCCCCAGCCGGGTCTCCTCCATCAGTCTCTCCTCGTCCGCCGTCGCCTCTGTCCGCTCCGGATACCTCGTTTCCGATCTCAGGTACCGTATTTCGTCTGTATGCAGTTTTGAACTGCGTCATTCTAACACTGCTTTTATTGCACCGAGGAATTAAGTCGATTCATTTTTTAAAACCACGTTTTTGAGCCGTGGCCACATCACACGCACTCATTCTGATTCCAGTCAACTGACAACACCGGAATTGCGCCCAAATTCTTTTTAATAGGAAATAATTGGGTTTGGAGATGTTTCTTCTTCTGCTGGCAATCCTGGTACAATTCCTACCGTCCTGGGCCATGACCAACAGCGACTGTCGGACGCTCCCGATGAACGTCCAGTTCACGAAAGGTCAGTCCCACCAACCCATTTTCATATTTCTGTTCCAGGAATGCATATATAGCAGGTAAGATATCGAAACACCCCGACTTGCAATGCAACTGATCCATAATGACAGAAAGGTGCGACAAGTTAATTGCGTACCGGCTAGTACTTCGTGTACCCATCCTCCCCCAATCGACGTTCCTGTACTGCACATTCAGAGTGAATGAGTTTCCCTCACGATCGACGCAAAACGTTCCGGCACCTTCTTTCAATGTTCGATGAAGGATCTTCTGCTCATTCTCGACCGATCTGGTTTTTTATTTATTAAGTATGTGTGGACTTCTAGTACTTTAAGTACTTCCAGGGAATGCATATCAAATTTCCCGTTCTTCGCCGGTTGAATCGATGGCGCTACGAAGAACTGAAAACTTTTGAGTTAGGGGCGTCAAGGAGTTCGTATCTGAGCGTGGGGATTTCATAAAAAGCTTATTAACATTTTGCTGCGAGTCTCAAAATTTTTGAAGAGAGAACTATCCGATGATGCAGCTTTATTTCAGGGAAAACACGTGATATTTCCGGGAAAGAAAGCAGCATTGTCGGATAGTTCTCTGTTGAAAAATCCACCCTTAAACTTTTCCCTCATAAATGTCCATTCATGGAGTCCATTGATTTCGAAGAGGTAACGGCGACAAGGGCGCGGTGCGAAACGCTGATGGTGTCAGAAACGCCCCAACTCCGTTAGGATATCTTGCAGCACACGCGAGGTGGAGAGGGGCCAGGCCGGCAGCAGTGTGTCGGCCAGGCCAGCAGCAGTGTGCCGGCCAGGCCGGCAGCAGTGTGTTGTCGCATGCGATGCAGGCGGAACGATGTGGGGTATCGGCATAGAAGGGGGGAGGAGGGGGATAACACTCTCGTGTGACGGGAGGAGGGGAATGACATGACAGGGGAAGGAAAATGGCATGCTGGGAGGCGATGCACATGAGAGTGGCTTCATCATGGGCATCAGAGTTTGGCAAGTGCGAATTTTTCTCAAGATTCATCTGGAGAAAAATTTGCAACTAGATGAAATGTTTTGAAAATCAAACTGGGTGTTCTGCCTATCACATGCAGAGTGGTAAAATTTTCGCTAAGTTTAAATTGGTATTATGCCCGCAAACGTTGACGAAATCCTGCTCTCACAAACAGACACCCAAGCGATTGCACAGGCAGCTTCATTTCTTATTCAAAGTAGGGAAGCTTGCTCTAAAAAAAAATGGTGGGAAGCAGTAGGAGAACCTAAACGCTCGGGTTAACAGAAAGACTTTGGAGACTCTCCCTTGAAAAGTGGCTGAATACATCTGACACTAGATGGTGCTGCAGACAGCGATCGCAGTAGAACCGCCCATCGGCTTCCGTATTCGAGTTCACATTTTCCAAAGGCCAGTCTAAACGCCGCGTTTCACGCATGAGTCAGACCGAGTCGATCTCGCGTCGCTCTGGGAGGGCGCAGGCGCCGAGAACCGCGCGCACGGGGACGGAGGCCCGGGTCTGGACCAATGAGAGAGCTGGGATTCGGCGTCGTCTGCTCGCTTCCGTTCTCGTATCCGCGGAGGTATTTCTCACCGGAGTTCTTCCAGGGGATCGTCTGAGATAGTTACTTCTGTCGATCCATGATGGCTCGTTCGGGCTTTTTCTCGTTTCTAATCCTACACGATCAATCGCTATATCGGCCCTGAACATTAAGATTTTTTTCTCTTCATCCTCAACGCCGAACGCGATAATGGAAAAGGATTTTAACAGAAGAGCTGTGACTAGAATATTTGCAAATCTTGAAAAATATGCAAAAATAAAAAATCTAATTTATCATATGTTTCAAAAAGCAGTCTTTTTTTTCTTCGATCCTGACTTTTCTCCAGTGAAAATCACTGCTTGCATGCACACGTAAAAATTACGAGTAGTTCCCAATTCCAAATCGTTTGAGACTGGACATTAAGCGCAGGTGAAAAAACAATATCCGAAACAACCCAGAAAACAAGCAGAACATCCCCGCCTCCCGGTTCATTCGATTAGAGTCCTGCACGGGCCCGATTGTTCCGACCCGACCCAAAATTCGGAGATCGGGTGCTGGCCGTGTTCATCGAAACCGGCCCGTGCAGGCCAGCACGGTGACATCTGGTGGGGAGTTTCGTCTCCAGCCCCTTTCGCTCGCGAGGTTGGCAGTTGGATGGCAGTTCCCATTGGTGATGCTTTGAGGTCTGGGTGAGCGGAGTCGATCGGGCGGGTGGGTTCCTTCGCTGTCGCGCGCGAGCTGCTAAGAAACTGATTGGGAATTCGTGCAAGAATGGCTGGGTTGATTCGCAACGGGAATCCATGAAAGTCGATCGGATCGCGAAAATTTAATCTTTAGAAATTACGATTTCCATTTAATTCCTACCTTGTTTACCTCTCCGTGCGGTAGCAGTCGCGCGAGGTTCATATACCATGAACCAAAGTATTTGCTAATGAAAAAAAAAAGCCGTAAGTGCACATATTGGCGAGATTTTTTGCTATACCGTAAACCGATTCCTACTGTATATCTTAACGTATTACTCATGATGTCAATTCCGCCATTATGGATTTCGCTCGAGGATTTGTCCAAGGACGCAACGGGTTTCGACATTGAATCTCTTTCATCGTTTTTCAAGAAATTCGCCAAAGTTTCAACCCGTCCGATAACCGTGTTCCTCCCCCAGCAACAACCAGAGAAAACGGATTTTGAGTCACGTCATGGAAAAACTTTCCTTCTGGGCGCCAAATAGAAAATAGAACATTTTTAAATTTACCTGAAACCTTATATTGAACAACCACACTGAATCACCACAAAACACTACAAACTCCTCGACGTTCTTAGAAACGGGACACGAATAAAACCTTCAGAACACATTCCCTCTCCTCAGAGGAATACGACACAGAGGACGGACGGATGCTGAGGAGATGCGAGGAGCTGATCCCGGTGAACAAGTGCGAGGGGACGTGCTTCTCCCAGGTCCAGCCCTCGGTGGCCACCGTCTCCGGGTTCCTCAAGGTCAGTCCGATGGTTTCATTGCCCTCTGGCAGGGGAGTAGGGTCGTCCGAAAATTTAAGAGATGGCGCCGGTGTGCTTGCATCAGTGGCGGATCCTCGGCCGTGCGCTGAGACCATCTATTCGGTTTTGGATGATTGCGTCTTTCGGCCGAATCGTTCACTTCTTTGAGGATTATTGTTCAGTTTTTCTGGATGATTCTAACGATGCGATGGACGACCTATGAAACAATCTCAGCTTAGCTCAGCGAAACATTTGGTTGAACCCCCACTTTCGGGGATTCTAAATTAACATGCACACGCGAACGCATTAACTCGACCATTGCAAACCGAGGAACCCACCCGACCCAAAAGCTTCACTCGTCCCCGTGCCCTTGCCAGGAGTGCAACTGCTGCCGAGAGAGCCAGCTGCAGGAGCGGTCGGTGGTGCTGAGCAAGTGCTTCGACCCGGACGGGATCCCGCTGAAGGGGGAGGACGGGAGGATGCAGCTGGACATCAAGGAGCCGACCGATTGCAAGTGCTTCAAGTGCAACGAGATCCTCTGAGGGACTTTTTTTTTTTGGAGAAGGGGTCGGGGTGATTTGAACGTTTGGAAATGACTTGACCGAAAAAATTTGTCAATGGGATTCTTTTTCTGAGAAACTGTAGAGAGGAAAAGGGGGAATTGCTTCGTATTTCACAGTTCGGTCCATCTTCAGGCATTTTAAATCGGTGCCATTCTCGCGAAGGTTTTCGATCCGACAACGAATAAGATTCACCGGTCGGGCATTCCAACGCAAGGGCGCGTTTCCAGACTCGCGAGTCACCCTGACCCAGTCGAAAGTGCAGATGCGAAACTATATCCACTTTGAAGCTCTTGTAAATACGGTACCTTGAATCAAGCGAGTACTAATAAACGTATTAATACATCATCGACATAATAAAGCATCCATGATGTGCACGAGCCGCAATGGGAGCAGACGGCGAATCGCGTTCTTTTGTATTCCTAGCGTTCGTCTCCAGCTTTCCGGGATTCCACTTCTTCGCTTTTTGGGGAACAAAAAGACTCGATTGTACCCAGATGAGACTATTGCCTCCCGTTATAACACCCATCGCCATTGGTCGCATTTCCGTCTCGATTCGTGCCACCCGTGTTGTAATTCTCGCAGTCAAAATATGCATATTCCAAAACTAGACGCCTTGCAAGAGGGTTAGCCATACCTTCCAGGGCCCTGGCGATGGTTGGTTACTCTCTGTAGCACTAATAGTAACTAATAACCAATAAAATCAGCTAAATGAAGGATGCACTCTGGACCTACGGAGAGGCTTTCCAACTACTCTTGTGTCGTTTTGAAGTGCCTTAACAGGAGAATAATGCGAAAGGATGTCACAATACATAGGGAAACCAGCGAGAAGGGAGTTTCTATTATTTTCCGTCACGTACCATTTTGAATGTCCATTATCTGTATGGTATAGGGCGAGAATTGAACATTTTCTCTCTCCAGCTGCCGCGGTGCCACTTGTAGAAAAGAAAAAACCAGATACATGCGGAAATGTCGAGGACGTCGCACTGACGCAAGTTTTTTTCTCCCCCAGCATAAATGATTGGCATTTGCAATGGGAGTAAGTCCTGCTGCGCTAATCCTAATGGACACAAAGCACACATACAATCCCTCCTCTCGTCGTCCAACCTTTTGGATGGAAGCTTATAAAAAAAATATATCGGAGGCTACAATGTGATTGAACTAGCATGGCGGTTCGGCTTGGTTGTTGTAACTGGGCAAGTAGGAGTCCATTTAAATATTTCCGACCGAGAACCTTCAGCATGTGAGAACGAAATGGGTGCAGGTGATCGAGAGTGGTTGACAGGCAAGTGAATTCCACTTCAAAATCGTTAATCGATTAAGAGTTTAAATGTATCAAATATGGGCAATGGATACTTTTTTTTTTTTTAAGGCAAAACCTGAGTGAATGTTACATTGGGGACAATCTGCACGTGCAGCAAGTCTCCGATGCGATTCTTTCATTGATGAAATGTGAACATTAAATGCCTAAATGCGATGCAAGTTTCGAGTTCACCACGAACGAGAGGTCCGGAAGTATGAATTGAAATACTTATGTGAAAAATTGACTACAACATAATGAATTTGACGTTACTACAAATGATAGGTTGGGTGATTGGAAGACCAATAGCTGTTTCACATTGCTTTAGTGAAAGGCTGATGAAAAGTCTTCCAATGTCTCCGCTAATGATCAAAAGTATGAGGGACTGATTGAAACGGCATGATGAAGGAAAGAATGCTTCACAAAAACAACAAGCTCTTGATTTCACGAGAAAACACATCATCGAGCAAAAGCACACCGTTCACCTTCTTCTCCCTGGCACTATAACACAACAGCTTCTGCCTCAGAAGTGGTCAGAACTGTAAGATGCATGCATTTTCGTTCTGCCAGCTTTCCTGAGCCACCCCCCCACCTTTTCACAAAGGCACAAAATAAATTTCGTCCATGGAATTCTTCAACTCAACATCATTGAGAGTTGCAGGTAATGTGCATTTCTTAACTCAACAATAACCTTGCAGAAAAAATAAATAGCAACTCAAGTTAACCACAAAAAAAGATATAGAAATCAGCAGAAATTGAGAATGTCTTCAAGGAATTCATTCACGCATTTAATAGTAATTTGAAGCAAATCAAGGCTGAATGGAATGTACTTGTCCCTGCTGCATTTGAAACAGAATGAAAATATTCAACCATTGGCACCAGGATTCCCAGCACAGCCTCCCTTATCATCTGAATATGATGAACTGGAAATAAATAACTCTGCAATACAGTTCAATGGAAGATAGAAAGAGAAGTGACAAAAAAGTACTCTAAAGTATCTATACTCTATGGGGATGTGACACTGAACACTTTTGAATGTGTTCAGAATTTTCACACAAGCAACCAAACGGTGGTCTAAATAGTCCCAGCTTGGTAATCTTTGAGATGCAGAAAGATAGGAATATGAAAACATCTTGAGGCCTAGAAATGAAGAGGCTGGCAGGCTTCACTGATTTTTTGATTAATAAGATTTCATTCACATCATCAGCATTTGTCATGAGTTTATTACAATTGTCCTAACTTGATGTGAATGCCTTCCTGCAATGCATTCACAAGTAGCTGCAAGTGGAAAGGGTGATGCAAGGTTCTAGCCAATAAACACTGGCAGGCATATATCTACATTTAACCAATTGTGACCACGCAGATTTGTTAATCAGGAAAATGATTGACTCAAATGGAGCAATGATGACAACACATTTACTTGTGCACTAGATGCATCATATCTTTCAAATACATGTAAGCAGAACATTGATGCAGGGGTGCAACTTGGGGAACACGAACAAAATCATCAGAAAAGTATGAGACCAAATATGCCATAAATTTTCAAAAGTTAACTATCACCTGATAGAGTTTTAATCTGAAAGAGACATTTCAAGATTTGTGCACATCATGCAGTTAGATAGAAACTGTCAGGATTGCACTCCTAACAGCAGATATGTCTGCATCTTTGATTCCATTGATGAACAGCCTTTTCCATCTGGGCAATGCAGACAATGTAGAGGCTGGACAGGGGAGTGTGAATGCAAATGGAGTGGACCCAGCCAACTGCCATGTTCTCACTCTACTTCTGGTTTACCCATCCCACATTCTAACATGAATTTGGGCAACCAAGTCTTCCTTTGTAAGATAGGATTTCTCATTAGAAATACCACAAATAGCATTTGGGAGGTGTCGACAAAAGCTGTCCCAATATGATTAAATGCAGATAATTTGAAGAAGTTGCAACCCTGTAAGTTTCAGATATAATGAAAAGGAGATTTCTCTTTATGCTGCAAAAAATGGAAACTCAACAACAGCATATAAAAACAGGGGGAAGAATATAGCATCAACAGTCAAAGCAGTCTTGCGATTTATATTATAAATAAATAATCTTTTCTTTTTTTTGGTGGGGATTCACAAAGGACTAGATGACTTTCCAAGCTGACTTGGGCTCTCTTTGGAGGCGCAGAGCAGTTCGTCTTCCCCATGGCAACCAAAGGAACCCAATGGCTACACACAACAATGTCTCGAGGTGGAAGCCATCTATGGAGATCTTGCAAAGTCCTCCTTCTGACACACAGAACTGTACAAGAAACAATAATGGCACTGGATAAGTATGAACTGAAATTCAATAGGCCTATTTCCAAGTTTAAGACAATTTCATTTTTCTTGGTACCCTCTGCAAGAGCAACATAGACTATATTAAGTACTACCCCTTCTCAAGATTGCTGGTATCTCAAACCAGATCTACAGGGTGAAATTTTTTGCTACCAATATTTCCTCAAAGTTGGCACTATGAAATATAAAAAATCTTACAATTATGAAACTATGAGGTTAAAGGCTCAGCAACTTCCTGGAGTGCTGGGTCACACTGAACTCTGAAGCATTTCTTGTTTTGGTTTTAATTTTTTATCAGTTGAGGAGACTGAGCACAAAGATAAAGCCAAAACATGATATTCCAAAAGCTTTCTCAAGCTCCACAGCAGAAGGATTACAATGACTTGGAACTTGAGGGAGGGGTGACAATAGAATTGCAATGTCTGCATTTTGGCATTATGGACATAAGATCTCAATGGGTTAAGTGCAGTTCTAGAACATCTGAAGATATGAATGAAATATTGCCTGACCATCATTTGGAGCCCAAAGGGATTGTGACAGTAAAATATGGAGAAAAAACCTCTAAGACCTCATACTTTTACCCTTTGACAAGTCCCTTCCAGTTGACATGTTGACTTTGTTAAGGTCACATGCCAAAATGTAGTTTCTTCTGATAACTTTTATTAGAATGGTAATGGATATTCAGTACAGTGGTCAGCACAGTTGGTGCCCCACCTGAACTAGGTATGGGAAGGAACAAGTTTCAAATCAAGTTTGCATGAAAAGAGGATCATTCCTAAAAGATGCACATCAGGGGATGTCAATGGTTTTTTGATAATACGAGGGCCACTCAATAAGTTATCTACCTGAATATGAAAGGGA